TGCACAGGTTGGGTGGGATGAAGAGTGATTTTGTTGAACGGCAACTACTCAGTAGTATTTTGCTCCTAACTTTCCTCCTTTGTCGATTGCTTTCTTCAAAGCCTTTTCCCTTCCGCCTCTTCGTTCTTGTTCGAAAACGGGTCTCCATGGCATGAGAACTATTTCCACCTCATTGTAGGTAATCGAGGTGGAGCTGCGCAAGCTGGATGCTGAACAGGGGGCTCAACACGTTGAATGGCTCTCCAACTTTTTGCCAGAAGCCTTTACTCGTCATGCTGGGGGTCACGATGCCATTCTCATCCTGCTTCTTGTCAATCGCCTTATTTTCAAGTGTGAACTCCTCTCTACTCAGGCATGTTGTTGTAGGCTATTTCAGTGAAACCTTCACTTAATGTTAAAATTGAGTCTTCCAAGAAATGGGTTAAATGTTATGCAAGGGGATTAAAACTTTTTGGTCATACTACACCAATTCTTGATGAAAGTAATCGCTTTTCTCAAGTGGAAATTCCTACTTTCAAACTCTAGGTGCGAAAGCGGTATCCCCTACCCAGCTGCATCCGTGGTTTAGCTCCGACAGGTAGCCTTCAGACTGCATTGCCATCAGGTCCAACGCCTAATGCACCTGTTAAGTTCACGACTGGAGGCGACGACACAGATGAAATTGTTATTTTCAAAGCTGAAGCTGAGATGGCTAGCTTTACCTCCTTCCTAATTCTCCTTCTCAATTATTGGCAAGGCCTGTTACAGCAGCTCAAATGGTAAATATCGTGTCGTGACTTATTTGCGACAGGAAAGACCGTAAGTTGAGGCTTGAGTCACTGAAAACTTTAAATCCCCAATGCACACGCAAGACTGAGCAGGCAGCGGTTGTCCGCCACTATTGCAGATGTGCTCATGATGACTTCTTTTTATCCCTTTTCTCATCTCGACTTTCTCTTCTTCCCTTTCAAGCGTTTTATCGTCCTGCGGTGCAAAGTGCTTCTCCAAGCTCGTTGCACTCTACAACGATCTGTCTGCGGGCCATGAGGAGACGGTGGATCACCTCCTCGGTCTGTGTAAACGCGACCAACTGGATGATGCGGTCTCCCTTGAGGCCTTGATTTCTTCG